CTCAAACACATGTATGCTCAATTTTAGTTGTAAAATCTATTGTAGTAACATGAGTTGAATTGTTTTTCTAATATTATATATAGATGATATATTATTGAAATGAATTAACATAGATTTACTTCGATTAATAAAGATATAATTGTCTAGAAATATTTTTTTATAAAGGATATGGAAGAAACAATATGCATACAGGAAATAAAGATATATAGATATAGGTCTAGAAGATTGTTCCAATCCATGTATATAGACAAGATATTAAAATAGTTGAGTGTAGAATAAAAAAAATATGATGAAAATGATCCTACACATCTTGGCTATAGAATCTATCAAATATTTGATACTATATACAAGATTAAATATATATTGTACTTTGAACATATCCCATAGATACTGATCCAATCCAGGTGAGAATCATTGAAAAATAGTTAAAATATTATAAGATAGTTAAGATATTATGAAGTATTTAATAGGAATTATAATATTTTTCTAGTTTATGAAAGATATAATATAATACTTCTCAGTTATTTTGATACTTGTTTTCAACCAAATATTCATGATATAAAATCATGTTATTACTCTAAATAATAGTATTAGATAATAGTAATGTAAGTTAGAAAAGTTCAAACAATTTTTACATTCATTTGTTAAATCTCATGTAGTGGGTGGGACACTGGATATAGAGGAAATGTGCCTCTCCCAAGAACCCAAAAGTTGATTTCACTCTAACACCGAAAAAAATTCAAGAACAAGAAAAACATTACCAAACAAACCAAAATCCAGAATTCAGATGTGAACTTCTAATGGTAGTTTCCTGGGCTTGCTGCTCAACAGAAACAATAGCCTTGACAAACTTCAAAGTCTGTTTCTTTTTTGAAAAGGCTTGAGTTTTGAGAGACAATAAAACAAAAACCCAGTAAAAGAAACAGATTCACTGGTGCAAAAAATGGCTGGACTTGATGGATGGGACATTAGATCTTGGCTTGCACGTAGAAAAAAAAATAGAGTTATTCACTAACTCGATTATTGAGAAATATTAGTTTCAATCAAGCGAGATTTTTACAAGTTTTAGAGAGTTTTTAGTTAGAAACCAGTACAATGTCTCGTGCTCTGCGTTGATTAGAATAATTTTTTAAAAATATATATAAAAAAATAAATTTTTAATATTATTATTATATCTATCAAGCAAATTAATTTTAAGACCTACTTACTTGCGTAACTTAAGTTTTTAATTAAATTATATAGAAGCTTATTTAATTTAAATCAATTAATTTTATAAGTTTTAATACAACCTTAATAGTTGATAAAAATATAAATTAATTTTTTTAAAAAATTTAAAGATAATAATTTAAAAAATATTAAGGTAATGACATATTAGATCGACATTGGTCCCCACAACCCAGGTAATTGATTTTGTTAGGTCTAATAAAGTTTTTATAACTTTTATAATTTTATTCTATGATAAAAATAGATATTCATAAAATTGAGTATCAACCTAAAAATAAACACTTATTTGAAACAATTATTTTTATATAAAGCAAATAAAAATCAGTAATGAACAAGTCTAAGTACTCCATTGCTTCATCAAGGTTTTTATATTCAAAAGTTCCATTGTACATCAACTCAACTATTTGCCTATCTCTAGTGTTAACCCTTCATAAAAATGTGAAACCAATCTCCATGTTTCAAAACTATGATGAGGGCAAGTATTAAGCAAGTCTCGATACTGTTGCGATGTCATGGTCGCACAAATTAATTACCCTAGCTTAAAAAGCACAAGATAGTATAGAGCAAGCAAGGGGTCAATCTCACGAGGAAGTTTCAATTCAGATTATTATGTTGTATGTTATGTAATTAGGGGATTTGGTTTGTGATTATCTAAACTATTGCAACAATTAAACTAGCAAACAAAATCAATTAAAATCAAAATTTATCAAGAAAACAAACCTTGGTCGCAAGCACATATCCACCTATGAAAGTTAGAATCGATCCTTGAAACTAAAATTGCAGTCTATGTTCTGAAATTTTATCTTTTCTTAATGTTGATTAATTAATGGATTTGCCGTACAACTAATCCTAACCAATAAACAATCAAAGTGTCTGCACTAGTGATTCAATTTAATGGCAGCTTTAAGAACTAGATTATTTCATCAAGATTAATATACAAGCTATTCGCAGCTTATGTCACTTTGTTCAAATGTTTTCTCTAAGTTCAATAACGTAGTTCCGCCACAATTATCAAGCTTAGTTGCTTCACAAGT